CCTGGGGCCCTCAGCCGGTCAGCACAGCGGACGTGAGTTGTGCGTCATGCGATCCGCACCACGCAGGCCGCGGGCCGGGCGTGCGCTCACCGCCTTGTACTCCATGAGCTCCATCTGCAGCCGCGCGATATCGGCCCGCAGCGCGCTGATCTGCTGGCTGGTCTTGTCCTGGTTCACCACCACCTTGTTCTTGATGTTCCGGGCCCGGTTGGCGTATTTGAGAGTGTTGAGTGTCTCCATGAAGTCCCGGTCAGAGGGGCTCACGCAGGCGATCATGATGGTCTGGCTGGGGGTGCAGGAAGTGGGGGTGAGGGTCCCAGGGCCCAGCCGGCTCCTCAGAAGCACATCACAGAGCACAGCTCCTGCCCCCCCGTCCCCCGTCCCCCCATTGCATGAGGACTGGGCTTCACGGGGCAGAACCTGGGTGGTGGGGACCCGGACCCCCCACAGAGCAGGTGGCGGGCAGACTGTGAGGGGGCCAGCACCAGAGAGATGGCCCTGCATCTCTTTACCATTTTCCATCTATTACCCCGGCTGGGCTCTATCACCTTTTTATTTAAAAAAAAAAATGTATCTTTATTGATTTCAGAGAGGTGTTGAGTGTCTCCATGAAGTCCCGGTCGGAGGGGCTCACGCAGGCGATCATGATAGTCTGGCTGGGGGTGCAGGAAGGGGGAGGTGAGGGTCCCAGGGCACAGCCGGCTCCTCAGAAGCACATCACAGAGCAGAGCTCCTGCCCCCCCGTCCCCCGTCCCCCCCATTGCCTGAGGACTGGGCTTCACAGGTCAGAACCTGGGTGGTGGGGACCCACCCTATGGGCCCGAGGTCAGGGGGCATCTCAGCCCAGAGCAGGGGGTCTCCTTGTCCCCGGGGGCCTTCACCCTCCAACCCTCCCACCCTGTCCCCCAGGAAGCCCCACCTCCCTGCCGGGTACCTGTTGCCCCCCAGCGAGTCCTGCAGGAGCCGCGTGAGCTTGGAGTCCCTGTAGGGCACGTGTACCGCCTTCTTGCTCTGGTCCCCCAGGGCGCTGATGACGTTGCCCAAGGCCAACTGCGGAGGCAGACCCGGTGCTGGAGGGGGCCCAGGGAGGGACCGCCCAGCCCCTGGCCACCTGCACCGCCCCCCAAC